TTAAGGTGCACCCTCATCTCCTGTTTGCTATGGTCTGAATGTTTGTGTCTCTCCTGAATTCATATGTTGAAATACTAATTAATAAGATAATGATATTAGGAGGTGGGCCCTTTTGGGAGGTGATTAAGTCAGTGGGGATAGAGTCCTCATAAATGGGATTAGTGGTCTCATAAAAGAGGCCCTGGAGAGCTGCCTTGGCCCTTCTACCCTGTGAGGATGCAGCTCTAGAAGGTGTCATCTATGAGGAATGGCCCTTGCCAGACACTGATTCTGCTGGCATTTTGATCTCAGAATTCCCAGCCTCCAGAACGATGAGAAACGTTTCTGTTTTTAACAGCCACCCAGTCGATGGTGTTTTGTTAAAACAGCCTGCATGGATTAAGATACTGCTTTTCTCCCTTTATACATCCTCCTGAAAGATTTCCTCTACTTCTGTGGCTTTAATTCCCCTGTATGTGCGGATGACTCGTGATCTTACGTCTCCAACCCAGTCCTTCCTCCTAACTCTACTATTATGTGTCTAGCTGCCTACCTAACTTGTCTAATTCCATGTGTCACAGGCATCTCAAATTCAACTTGTCCAAACCCAGATTCCTGATCTGCCTTTTCTAGCTCTGGTTCTCTTCATCATATTTCTAGTTACAGGAAAGGGGCGCACCGTTTACCCAGTTACTCAGGCCTGAAGCCTGGCGTCCTCTTCCTTCCCCAGGCATGCCATTGGAGCACAGTCATTTTTCTACCAGTCGATGTTTCAGTGAAGATTAAGTTCCAAATCCTTGACGTGCTCCAGCCTTCCCCTGTGAGCTGAGCGCTCCCACAAGAAGCTCCCCTACCTTCCATCCCCAGCCATTCTGACCTTCTGTGTCTTTTGTAGACCCTGCTCCTGCCAGCCCCAGGCCCTTGCTTATTTATGCTGTCCCTTTTCCTTGCCCTCTTGCCTGGCTAACTTCTGCTCATCCTTCACTTTGTGAACTATTTATATGCTATTCTAGGACCCTGAACTTCCTTATGGCAGCCATCCTGATTGTTATTAGATTATTTGTATTGTTGTTTCGTTCAGTGTCTGTCCCCTCTGCTGCACATTGACTTCACATAGGCAGGGACGGGGTCTCTTTGATTACTGCTGTGTCCCAGTTACCACCGCAGTTTCCAGCCAGGAAAAGAAAAGATGGTTGTTTCCCTGCTTTGATAAAATACCCAGACAAAAGGATGAGCTTATTGCTCTTGCACCTCCTTCCCGAATCTTCCCTGGTTGTCACCAGCAATAATCTATTATGTCTGAGCTGAATGTTTCTCACTGCATGCTGGTTTGCTCAGAGGAAATAGAGGAGGGACTGTTTTTTTGCTTTCTCTTTCTCTTTAGACTTTATTCCTAACGCTTGTTTCTAGTCATTTCTTTTAACCAGCTTCCTGAGAAGAATTTCCATTGTCTTTTCTGAACTCACTTTCAGACCATGAGAAAACAAAAGTTTATTCTGATTTTGGGTCGAAACCTGACACTGAAATTGGTGGTGTTAAGTACATTGCCGGGTAACTGAGATACATTTATACTATTTTTTAAAATGTGTTTTTTTCTGATTATAGGAGTGATTTTATTGTTAAGAACAATTTGAGAATACAATCAAGGGTCAAGAGGAGAAGAAATGGTAGACATTCCTCTCAGAGTTTTCTATTGTAGAATAAGGTCCTGCTGTACATACGAATTTTGTCTGCCCTTTTTTACTTCACATGGATACTTTGATAAAAGCCCTGAAAAATGGGAGTGAAACCTAATAGACTACAGTTTCGGACAACCCCCAGTGCAAATAAGACTGGTCAGCAGCTTCTGGCAAGACCTGCTTCCTCTAGAAGCAGAGAAAGGAAGAGTAACAGGCTGCCCTGAGACCAGGCTCTATAGAGTGTCCCTCCTGCCTCGACATGCCAGGCCTGCTCTGTCCTGGTGCTTGCAGTGTCTATCAGCTGGACACCCTGCCTCTTGGGTGATGCCTTCCACGCAGGACATCTCCAGCACATTGCTCTCTGTTGCAGTGTGTTCCTTAAGCCAGACTTTCTAGGTTTAATTGCATTGGATGTTCATGGATCCTTGTATCTCAGACTAATTGTCTGTGTATTTGTTGATAGTTGTTCTTGTCTATTTTCATTTTACTTTTTAAATTCAAGGCAAGAGACCTGTTTATTTTGTCTTTTACAGTGCCTAGTGTGGAATTTGGTGCCCAATCAATAATCTTTTTTTTTTTTTTGAGACAGAGTCTTGCCCTGTTGCTGAGGCTGGAGTGCAATGGCGCCATCTCAGCTCATTGCAACCTCCACCTCCCAGATTCAAACGATTCTCCTGCCTCAGCCTCCCGAGTAGCTGGGATTACAGTCACCTGCCACCGCACCCGGCTGATTTTTTGTATCTTTACTAGAGACAGGGTTTTACTGTGTTAGCCAGGATGGTCTCGATCTCCTGACCTTGTGATTTACCTGCCTTGACCTCCCAAAGTGCTGGGATTACAGGCATGAGCCATCACACCCAGCCAATAATCTTAAATAATCTAAAAATAATGTTCTGCCCAAATTATAGATAACCAAATTAGAGTCCAGTTAAAATTGTCCTTTTATTTCATAATTTTATCCATTAATTCAGGGAGCATTTAACAGTGCCTGACACAGTTGGTAGGCATGGAGTATACATTAATGAATAAAACAGGGCTAGTTCCTCTTGAGGTTAGGCTTCTAGGCTAGTTTGTTTATTTACTTATTTATTGAGACGGCTCTTGAAGCCCAGGCTGGAGCAGTGGCAAGATGTCGGCTCACTGCAACCTCCACAACCTGCGTTCAAGCAATTCTCCTGCCTCAGCCTCTGGAGTAGCTGGGACTACAGGTGCGTGCCACCACCCCCTGGCTAATTTTTGTATTTTTAGTAGAGATAGGGTTTCACCATGTTGGCCAGGCTGGTCTCCAACTCCTGACCTCAAATAATCTGCCCACCTTGGCCTCCCAAAGTGCTGGGATTAGAGGTATAAGCCACTGATCCCAGCCTCCAGGCTAGTTTAATACCAGATGTTACACAGATAATAAATCCATAGTTTGAATTTGTGATGAGAGTTATGAAGGAACATGGCAAGGTGCCCTGAGAGAGTGCACTAAAGTAGTAGTGTCCACTCTTTTGGCTTCCCTGGGCCATATTGGAAGAAGAAGAATTGTCTTAGGCTACACATAAAATATGCTAATGATAGCTGATGAGCTAAAAAAAAAGTTGCAAAAAAAATCTCTTAATGTTTTAAGAAAGTTGATGACTTTGTGTCGGGCCTCATTTGAAGCCGTCCTGGTCAGTATGCAGTCTGTGGGCCACGGCTTGGACTAAGGGGAGACCTATAGGAGCTGGCATGGGGTGTTGGAGGAAGCCTGGAGGTGGAGCCCTGAAGAGAAGCAGAGGGTGGGTCAAGGTGAGGACATGAGCTCTTTTTGAGAGGGAACCAACCAGAAGGTGAGGCATTCAAGGTAGAGAGTGGTAAACGGAAATGCTTGTCTCTTTACTTTAGTAACTGGGAATGTAAGTCTCCACATGTCTGTGTCTCTATTCTTTCTAAACTTTTCAAGGGATGCATTTAGCCTTCCTACAAGAGTATTTTGGTTTTTCTTTTGAGCAGGTCTTTCTGAACCTGCTGTCCTATCCCACATTTATTGACACTTTTGCTGATGTTTCTGAAAGGCAACTGGGAAGGGCACTAGCAAGTCAGGCTTTTAACACCTATCTGTGGGTTCAATAAAGAGGAATTCAGCTCTTCTCGATTGTAGATGCTGTGTTGTATTCTGGGTCCCATAGGAGATCTTGACTGACCCAGGAGTGTCCCCTTGAGGAAGAAGGACCCTCAGCTACCAGCTGCCTCCCAGCATTCCTCCCCAGGGATAGAAGTCACCCACTTTATGAGCAAGTCCTTAACAAGGAAAGAAGACAGCACTTGAAAATTTCATTGAGCTGTTGGGATTTGTTTCAGAAGACCATTTTGTCCCAGTGTGGATAAGAGCTTATTCCTTCATTCAGCAAATGTTGAGTGCCTTCTGTGTCTAGCACATTTCCAGTGCTGAGATACAGCAGTAAATGGCTTCCATGTCTGTGGATGAAGACAAACTGGAAACAAATAAGCGAAATACAGAGGATGTCGGCCAGTTTATCATCACTACAGAGAAAATTAAAGGAGGGAAGGCGGCCTTAGGGAGAGTCACTTGGGAAGTGGAGACGGGTGTTGCAGTTGTTAAAAATAGCATCAGGAAAAGGCTTACTGGGTGACATTTGAGCAAAGATTTGTATCTGGGGGAAGAGCATTCCAGGCAAGACGCCACAGTGGATGCTATGATCTTGCAGGAACATGCTTGGGATATTTGTGGAACAGCACAAATCCCGCAGTGGCTTGAGTACAAGCAGTGAAAGGGAAGAGTATGCAAAAGAGGAGGTGAAAGGGAAAAGGGAAGACCATGCACATGGGCCTTGTGGCCGCTGTGGATACTTTGGCTTTCTCTCTGGTTAAACAGGAAGATGCTGGAGTCTGTTAAATCTTCTGTAGGGCAAAGGGTGGAAGGAGACTCTGATGAGATGGTGATAGCATGGATCTAGATGGAGGTGGTAGAAAGAGGTCAGGTTTGAGATCTGTTTTGAAGGGAGAGCTGATGGACTGGATGAGGGCTGTGTGAGAAAGAGAAGGAATGGGAGAGGAATACGTTATGGACTTGTTAAATTTAGATCCATATTAGGGTGCTCATGTCAAAAATGTAGTTGGGTATATGAGTCTGGAGTCAGGGGAGAAGCCTAGGTGGGAAGGGTGTCTGTGAGCCATCTGTGAGCATATGGTATTTACATCCATGAGACTCTGGAGTGACTGTGTGTTGGGTAAGAACTTCAGTGCCAAGGGGTTGGGGACATGAGAGGAATCAGTGAAGGGGGCCTGAGGCAAGGGGGCCGGCGAGGAGGTAGAGACCAGGTCTGACGGTGAGTGGCTCTCTGGACCCCTGTGCAGGTGTGACAACGTGCGTGTGTTTAAGCTGGGCCTCTTCTCGGGCCTCTGGTGGACCCTGGCCCTGTTCTGCTGGATCAGTGACCGAGCTTTCTGCGAGCTGCTGTCGTCCTTCAACTTCCCATACCTGCACTGCGTGTGGTAAGCCCCTGCTAATGGGGAGGTGGCAGGGGACAGGTGTGTTTGCACTTGCTGTTGGGCTCTGTTCACCCTGCAAGGTGCACAGGTGTGCCGGGGGTTGCTGGCTTGCTTCTCTCCTCAGGTGCACTGTCAGGTGGTTCAGAAGCCACTGAAAGTGCAGTTTGTAAAAAGCTCCAGGGAGCAGGCTTAGGTGGAACAAAAGGCCTGATTGTCATGCTTAGGTCTGCAGTCTCTTACCTCTAACTCCATTATGAAAGCCTAAAGAAGCTTGAGAACTGAATCTGTAACCTGAGCTCTATCTAGCTGTTTTGGGAGGGGAAAGATAGGGGAAAGCTGGGGAAAGAGGTGATGTGAGGGCTGGGAGTGTCCTCAGTAGGAACCCCACCTTTAGGGCCTGAGTGACCAAGTGAAAGGAGAGGCCACACAGGCCATTTAGGGACACTCTTTTCCATTATTTCTGTAAGTGGGGACAGAAGACCAGAGAACTAAAGTGAATTGTTTAATATCACCCACCTGTTTACATAAAAAACCTTGGAGTTCAGTAATAGCAAATTATAGCATGTATACTTTGGAATGTACAGGATACACTATGTTAAAAAAAAAAAAGCGGGTTAGAAAAATATATGCAGAATCTGATTGTGAGAAAGCTGGGGGAAATCAGAGGGGCTTACTTCCTGGAAACTGCTTCAGCCCCAAACCCATAGTGATTGTTCCTTCTCTGTCCTCCAGGACTTCTGATTGCAAAAGATCACAAGGAGGAAAAATCTGCTGTAGATTATTGCTTACAGATGAAGGGAACCCAAGGAGAAATTCTAGTGGTGAAGAAATGGAAAAACTTTAGATCTAGATTCTGGAAAAGGTTGACTTCTATCCAGAGATGGGCTAAAGATACACAATTTGATAGAATTCACTTAAGTTCCCTTGCTCATGTGAACTTGTATATGTTTACCGTGAGACCCACCCTACTCAAAATGTAGGCCCTGGGGACTTCAAGAAGTGTTTGCAAAAAACAGAACTCAAACAGCACAAGTTGGAATTTACAGTCACATCTGTCAGTCTTTAGGGTTTCTGGATTTTGTGTGATTTTTAAAAAGACCCGCCTCCCCCCACCTTCAAAATTTATAAAAATTTTGTGTTTGGTGCAGTGGCTCACGCCAGCACTTTGGGAGGCTAAGGCAGGTGGATCACCTGAGGTCAGGAGTTCAAGACCAGCCTAGGCAACGTGGTGAAACCCCATCTCTACTAAAAATATAAAAATTAGCTAGCTGGGCCTGTTGGTGGGCACCTGTAATCTTAGCTACTCAGGAAGCTGAGACAGGAGAATCAGTTGAACCCAGGAGGTGGAGGTTTTGTGAACTGAGATAGTACATTGCACTCCAACCTGGGTGACATTATAATTTAAAGTACATTTAAAAATTTTAATTCATCTGGGATTAAGTTTCAGTTTAGGTGTAAGAAAGGATTACATGGCCGGTTGTGGTGGCTCATGCCTGTAATTTCAACACTTTGGGAGGCCAAGGTGGATGGATCACTTGAGGTCAGGAGTTCCAGACCAACCTGGCCAACATGGTGAAACCCCGTCTCTACTAAAAATACAAAAATTAGCCAGGCGTGGTGGTGAGTGCCTGTAGTTCCAGCTACTCGGGAGGCTAAGGCAGGAGAACTGCTTGAACCCAGGAGGCGGAGGTTGTAGTGAGCCGTGATTGCACCATTGCACTCTAGCCTGGGTGACAGAGAGAGGATTCACCAAAAACAAGGAAACAAAAAGGTTTGCATGCTTTTAAATGGTCTATTGTTTGATAAAGATTAATATTAAAACTTTTTACAGGTACAGTGAGGATAAATTTTTTAAAAATTTCCACTAAACTGGAAAAGTGGTTTAATCAACATAAAATTATTCCTGAGGAAGGGCATAAAATATCTGTAACCCGTGGCTAAAGTGCAAAGGTGGGATCTAATCAGATGTGCTCAGTTACTTCCATCTTAGCACCTGTGTTTTAAGTCCTTGGGCCTCAGTCTTCTTGTTTGAGGCCCAAAGGCATTTATTTGCACATTTGTTCCATTGTCCAGCAGCAATATTTTAGGACATTCTAAGATGGGTCCCAAACTGCCCAAGATTTATCATCCTGCTATTCCAGGGATTGTTGGTAATCTTCATTCTTTCCTAACCAGAAGAGGCCCCTGGGCTGCAACTACAGTGAGCAAGGGGGGTGGGTTAGCCCAGAAGAAGGAGCAGGCTAAACTCAGGGCAGTGGAGTCTCATCAGGCTCTTACCTCTTGTCTCCTCTGCAGGCACATCCTCATCTGCCTTGCTGCCTACCTGGGCTGTGTATGCTTTGCCTACTTTGATGCTGCCTCAGAGATCCCTGAGCAAGGCCCTGTCATCAAGTTCTGGCCCAGTGAGAAATGGGCCTTCATTGGTGTCCCCTATGTGTCCCTCCTGTGTGCCAACAAGAAATCATCAGTCAAAATCACGTGATGGCGAGGTGGTGGCTGGCTTTGCCACTTACCGCCCCTCATTCGGTGGGCTTCCTTTGCTAGGAAGACAGCCAAGGGAGTTTGAAGAGTTGGGGTGTGGGCTATCTTTTCAAAAATCTATTTGCTGGGGCTCTCACTAACGTGTCTGTGGACCACCAGGATTCCACTGTGCAAGGGGAAAAGTGTCTTTTCCTTTCCCAACAATGGAAAATGGAGGACTTAGGGACACCAGATGCATCTTTCTCAGCATCACTTCCAGATGCAGTGACTCACTGAGCTGTGTCCTTTGTGGCCGTGGCAGAGCAGTCTTTTGGTGGATCCACCCTGTACAATTCATCTCTTCCTGGAGAAAGCTGGCCTGTTCCAGACCCCACCATTCCCAGGTACCCTTGGAGTGGACTCTACTGATGACAGACAGACTGACCCTCTGACAGACGAGACCCTCTGACTCTCTGATGGAAGATGCCAGAGATTTTCCTTTGGGGTAATTGTCCTTAAACAAAACCAAACTGATGAAACACACGCAGGACTTGTGGCTAGAAGGCTATTTTTCACTTGCATTTCTCAACTAACCCAGGTTTTACATGCATTTGTGAATCTTTTTACTACTACCTCTGTGGAGAGATGGAGAGACTTCAGATAAAGGTACAGCTAATGGGTAAGACCCTCTTATGCCAAAACCTGCACTCCACTTTAGGTCATTCTTGAAAATGAGCACAATTTTTGAATACTGACATCATTTCTGCCTCCCCCTCTCACCCCAGCTCCGCAGCCTCAAATCCACAGAGAAGAAGAATTATGGCATGAATGTTTCCACAGACCCACCATCTTTAAGACTTGACCTCTGTAAGTTTACCAAAGGGCTTCTCACAATTGTGGTGTGGGTTCTGGTTCAAAATTTGGAGCAAACATGAATTTTTTGGATACTTTTTCTCATTCGAAGCCTCCAGTATGCTGTACTATTCTGGAAATTACCTTCGAGAATCTCACTTCCTGTTTCTGTTGTTTTTTTCTGTGGGCATCATGCTCTTCACTCTTACAGTAGAAGGTGCTTTCTGGGTTTTCCAGAGTATCCACTGGCTCACTTTTCTCAAGTACTAGCAGTAACTATACACTCACGGGCTGGTTTTGGGTTGCTAGTGTAGCAGCACAAATCTGTTGCCTTCTGAATTTTTCTCACCTGATGTGGGAAAGACACTGGCTACAGTGAATCTTCTTTTCATCTGGGTGAATGGAAGAATCAAGAACTGTCTTAAAGGTGCATGGTGGGAATTACCAACCTCAGGGATACTAATTTTAACTCAGGCATGTCCTGCTTTGTAACATTCCATTGTGGGGAGGGGGTGGGACAGGTATTTTCTTGTGTGGGTAGGAGTCATGTCACTGTCCTACATATGTAAGAGTTGGGAAGGTGACCGTTTTTGGCACATTCAGGAACTTACTCTAGTTAGAATTTGTACAAGATCCAAGGGGAAAACCCCAATAAGCAACTGAATTTGGAGTTTAAAAATGAATGACTTTATGCTATGTCTCTGATTATCAAATTATATAGGTTTTTCAAAAGCAGAACTCTGTAGTAAGAAATCTTTGTGGAGGCCTAGCGTGGTGGCTCACACCTGTAATCCCAGCACTTTTGGAGGCTGAGGCAGGCGGATCACCTGAGGTCGGGAGTTCAAGACCAGCCTGACCAACAGGGAGAAACCCTATCTCTACTAAAAATACAAAATTAGCCAGGCATGGTGGCGCATGCCTGTAATCTCAGCTACTTGGGAGGCTGAGGCAGGAGAATCACTTGAACCTGGGAAGTGGAGATTGTGGTGAGCTGTGATTGTGTCATTGCCTTCCAGCCTGGGCAACAAGAGTGAAACTCCATCTTAGAAAAAAAAAAAAAAAGAAAGAAATCTTTGTGGAACCCCAGTGTGTGAAATAAATTGTATTTTGTTAAATTTACAGCATTTACTTAATAACATACGAGGTGGTGAAAATGCAAATTAACAAACTAGTAATTTCCAAGGTAGAAAAATTAGGTGTTGAATTTATTCAACATATATGTTGCTTTATTATAGTTTATATATTTATAGAGAGAGCGTTTTGTTTTTGAGTCAGGGTCTCACTGTGTCACCCAGGCTGGAGTGCAGTGGTGCAGTCACAACTCATTTTAGCCTCTGTCTCCCAGGCTCAAGTGATCCTCCCATGTCAGCCTCATCAGGAGCTGGGACTACCAGTGCGTGCCACCACTCCCAGCTAATTTTTGTATTTTTTGGAAGAGATGGGGTTTCACCATGTTACCCAGGCTGGTCTCGAACTCCTGAGTCAAGAGATCCGCCCACCCTGGCCTCCCAAAGTGCTGGGATTATAGGCATGAGCCATCACGCTCAGCCTAAAAAATATTTTTAAAATGATCTTTGAGTTAAATATTCGTGGAACTTCTAATGTACTTCTTTGAGACCTAGGTGGTTGATGGAACAGAACTGCTGTTAAGTCCAGGGTTTCAAGTCCAGAATTTTTTTAAAGGCAAATATCACACCATCCTCATTTTAGATTGACCTTATCCGGCATGGATTCGGGTCTCTCTATTTTATGGCATAAATGCTCCAAGGTAGGGGGTTTGGTGTATATTTTAAGCCCAGCTTTTTTTTTTTTTTTTTTTTTTTTTTTTTTTTTTTTAAGTGTGAAAAGCAGAATGTGCTTCTAGAAACTGGTTCTTAAGAGATGAGCTGAGAAAGAAATGTGGAATGGAGTATATTTGAGGAGGACAAAACATAGTTTCACGTTTGAACTGAAATCTCTCTAGCTTGCCAGGATGGAATATAAACCAAGAGAGTAGAGACATACCCATCTTATTTTAAGTTGGGTTTATGGCATCACTCATTTAGGTAGAAGCATTACAAACTCTTTAAAGAAAATTGGGAAACTGCAGAAAAGTTGAAGAAAAAAAAAGTAACCCATATTTCTATTGCCCGGGTATAACCCTTGTTAATATTTAGGTATAGTCTCATCTTTTTTCCCCCAATATAGTTGTAAATAAATGATGTCTTTCAGAGTTCACATTTATCCTGTAGCTTGAATGGCATATAAATGCCAGTTGTATATTTTTCATGATGTGTGGGTTTGGAATACACTAGAGTTAGCTATACGCTTGAATGCTGATCATTGGATTCTGAGACTGACTACTGAATCTACCTTTTTAATCAAGCCTGACATGAATGGGCCCTAAAAAGTCATGAACTGAATTCCACTTTTTGATGTGCCTCTGCACTTGGCTTGATGAGTCATCATAAATAGCTGTTAAATATGTGACTTCACAGATTTTGATATGTTCAGATTGTAAAAAATGAATCGTTTATTTCATTAATTGATGGGCAATCAAGAATCTCCTTCCCTCCAGTAGGGCTCCCACTTAGGAGTTAGGTTATGGTGGTAGTTGCTTAGCATGACTCTCAGATTTTGTTCTGGTCAGAATTTGGCCAAGTTCAATACCCAGCAGAAACCGGTTAGGTTATAAAAAACCATTCATGTTTCCGTGTGATCATTTCAATCAGTGATCTGTGTTTTATAGTGTTTAATTGTTGATTATTAGAAAAAGAAATCTTTTCTTCTCTTTATGATTACTGTATATCATTATAAGGCAAGTCCTTCCATGAACACATTGAAGGTATGTGAGGATGATATGTCTGAATCCATATGAGGACAGGCTGCATTTTGGGGAATTCTATGCCTGTCTAGTGAACAGTACCTAAAACATTAATTATAGGTCAAAGATGTTCTGTTGGGGAACAAAGCCTGATGGTCATCAAACATAAGGCTTTGTAAAAATAAGACCACTCATTCCACTTACTGCGTCTCTCAGGTGTGTAAACGTCTCAAGTTCATGGTGCTTCCATGAGCCAGTGCCATGTTGAGTCCCCAGGACTGGGATTTGAGTCTTCCTGGCTCTTTATCCCTTGGGGCGGACATGGAACCATCTCTGGGGTACAGGTGGATGCTGAAGCTCACCGAGTCAGGCAATCAGTGCCCCTCTCCTAGCTCCTTTTTTTTTTTTTTTTTTTTTTTTTTTTTTGAGATGGAGTCTCGCTCTTTTGCCAGGCTTGAGTGCAGTGATGCAATCTCAGCCCACTGCAACCTCTGCCTTCCGGGTTCAAGCGATTCTCCTGCCTCAGCCTCCTGAGTAGCTGGGACTACAGGTGTGGGCCACCACGCCCAGCTAATTTTTATGTTTTTAGTAGAGATGGGGTTTCACCATGTTGGCCAGGATGGTCTCCATCTCTTGACCTCATGATCTACCCACCTCGGCCTCCCAAAGTGCTGGGATTACAGGCACAAGTCAGTGCGCCTGGCCACTCCTTTTACACTGAAATTAATCATAAAGCTTTCATAGCCAAGGCTTTGCCTAGGTGCTTTTATTCTAGCTGGCCAAAGAGAAGTCTTGGGCCAGATTGAGATTCTTCATGGATTTTATAGACATCATCCTCCTACAAACTTTAAAAAAAAAAAAGATCCCTACTCTATGGGACTAATTGTTTGAATCTTATCTTTCTCTATATGTTAAACCAGATTTAAAACTATTTTATAACCACAATATGTAATCAGAACAATATAGTATTTTCAGATATATACCTTGTTTTATACTTTGTGTAGGATGTGCTGTATAAGGGTGGCATGCCCACTGGCTGTGGTAAAATTTAATCTCCATTGCTTTGGGAGTGATTTAATGCCTTTTGAAATGGAGCTTTTGCACTTTATACTCTTTCTGTGAACTACGATAACTGTATTTGATATTAAAGCTGTAAATAGCATTTTCTGCAAATGAATATGTACATGTTTGTGTCTATTTCCAAAATGATTTCTGAACTATTTGCAGTGAGAATGTGTCTAATAGATTGTACAGCAAAGCACATTGCCCAAATTCATTTCTTAATGAATTGGGTACCATTGTTATTAAAAATGATTAAAATAATTGTAGTTACTTGTTGGTTTCTTCTTAGAGCTGTGAAATTAATACATGAAAATTTTTCCAGCCTAAAGTACGTAAGTACAGTTATTTTTACTAAATCTTCTATAGTCATGTCATATGGATATAAATCTCAAATATAGGCCTGGTGTGGTGGCTTACACCTGAAATCCCAGCACTTTGGGAGGGCAAGGGTGGATCACCTGAGGTCAGGAGTTCGAGACCAGCCTGGCCAACATGGGGAAACCACATCTCTCCTAAAAAAAAACCATAAAAATTAGCTGGGTGTGGTCACTTGACCTGTAGTTCCAGCTACTCAGGAGGCTGAGGCAGGAGAATCCTTCACCTCCTTCACCTGGGAGGTGGCGGTTGCAGTGAGCCAAGATTGCACCGTTGCACTCCAGCCTGGGTGACAGAGTGAGACTCCTCAAGAAAAAACAAATCTCGAATATAGAATATAATTCATTTGTGCTGGATTTCATCAAATCACTAGAAGGAAGATCTTGTGACATTTCAAAATCATAAATTTAGCAGGAAAATTTATCTACTTATTTATTTCTTTTAAATTTCTGTGACAGTTGTTTAAAGTTAAAAGATTCATAGTTCAGCAGATTTAAAAGAATAGTCTGGGCACAATGGCTCATGCCTGTAATCCCAGCACTTTGGGATGCTAAGGTGGGTAGATTGCTTGAGCTCAGGAGTTCAAGACCAGTCTGGGCAAATGGTGAAACACTGTCTCTACCAAAATTACAAGAATTAGCCAGGTGTGGTGATGCACACCTGTAGTCCCAGCTACATGGGAGGCTGAGGTGGGAGGATTGCTTGAGCCCAGGAGGTAGAGGTTGCAGTGAGCAGAGATCATGCCACTGTACTCCAGCCTGGGCCAACCTGTGAGACCCTGTCTCAAAACAAACAATAACAAAAATGACTATAAGAGAAGAAATACTGGATAAGCATTATCTGTATCATTACAGTGGGTTTTTATAGACTTTTTTATTTTCCTGGAAGAGGCGAGGGGACAAGGAGTGGCCCCAAAGTTCTTTGACAATATAAAAGCTGCAGGAAAATGTTCATGTACAGGTTGAGTATCCCTGATCCAAAAATAAAAAATCAGAAATTCTCCAAAACCTGAAATTTTCTGAGCACCTATATAACAATCAAAGGAAATGTTCCTTGGAGCATTCCAGATGTCCGATATTTGGATTAGGGATGCTGTATAATGCAAATATCCCAAAATCTGAAAAGATCTGAAATCCAAGCATTTGTGGTTCCAAGCACTTTGGATAAGGGACATTCAATCAGTATATAATTTTCTAGGGGTTCAGATGTCTCTAGTAGCCCATCCAGGTAAAGAGCCTCTGCCCAACAGGAGACTAAGCAAACATTTCAAATCCTTTTGGTGCTGGAATTAGTTACTCAGTCTTCAGGACTGAACTTTTTTGAGGTTGTGGTCAGGGACAGTGGCTGAGGAAGTTGAGGGCTCTGCTTCTAGGGGCTGGCATGGGTGTGTGTACCTCTCTCCCCGACAGTCTGGACCAGGTGTCCCCAAAGTACGGCCCTCAGGCTGCATGCAGCCCCCTGAGGCCATTTATCCGGCCCCCCGCCACACTTCAGGAAGGGGCACCTCTTTCATTGGTGGTCAGTGAGAGGAGCACAGTAATTGGCGGCTGTCCAACGGTCTGAGGGACAGTGAACT